ATAGCATTTTTCTTTTTTCTTTGTGGTACTCAGAACCTCGCGCTTGACAGGCAGGTTCTGTGCCACTAAGCTATATACCTGGTGAGAATAACACTCTTCTAATCTGTTCTTTTATCTCAGTATATATTTCTCACAGTATATTTTTCCACTTTTCACAACCATAAAGATTCATGAGTCATTGTGATCAAGAACAATTCTGATAATGACAGGGTCCAAATTTTAACCCATGGGTTAGAACAACAATAGGAAAACAAGAAAAACATTCAGTCGTACATTTGTTATGGCCGAGAGTGAGGAAGAAGCACTGATCTTTGGCTTAGAGGACCTCCAGTGGTTTCCTGTGCTGGAATACACCCAGTTGGGGAACTGCGCTTGTTGTTTCTTTCAGTCCCGCCTGCTGGTCTGGCTTGGCCAGAGTCTGTTAATTGAACGACTTAGCCATGTGGCAGAGGATGGCTAGCTGCCCACCAAATCCATTTTCTCCTTTTAGCACTCACACAAATTACCTTTTCCAGCCCTTTTGCAGTGTGGCTCCAACATACAGCTGAGATCTACTGGCCGGCATCCTGTCCTCCAGATCCTTCTCCATCTGCCTGCTGAATACAGATCTGAGGTCCCAGTAAAGGGTGAACTAATACATGGAGGTAATCTGGATCTCAGAGTGACTGCATAGAATGTTTGCTGCTAAGAATTCACATATTGGATACATGTGAGAAAAATACTACTGTGTTACGCTGATGAGAATTTAAAATATCTATTACTGTGGCTGGCATTAAGTTACTGAATACAAGCATGTCAGTCGACATTTCATAAGACCATCTTGTCTTTGGACATACTGCCACCTTAAACAAAATTGGAGTTGAGTTGGTGAGGAAGAGAAGGGAAATGGGATCTTTGGTAAACAACCAGCAGTCTCTACTACAGTATGTGACAGCTCAGATTTTGCCCAGTGATAAGAAAAAAAAAAAAAAAAAGAAGAAGAAGAAGACTGAAAAAAGATAATTAAATATGGCCACTAGGAAGTCACGGATGACCTTTAAGAGCCCAGAGTGGGTAATTATCAGATTGCAGAAGATGCAGGAGTACATGGGCCATGAGTCATTGAAGCCAGCAGTGTGATTTGAGTATGAACAGAAAGAAATGAGAAGCTTGAAGGACAGAGGTGCACAAGTCTTTTTCAAAGGGGGAAAGGTTCATGTTTGGACTGACACAGGAAAAGCAGTAGAAAAGACAGTAATGATGCTAGAGAAAGAAGACCTCACTGAAGCAGGAAGACTGCCAGGTGTCAAGATGGGACATGTGGGAAAGAGATGAGCCATAGAAATAAAAGCTTTTCCCCCATGACAGGTGTAGTGATGTGAAAATGGCATTTAGAGAGGGCAATTTTGGGCTGTGTGATCATTAATTTTCATGTGTCAGCTTGACTTGAGAAAGTACTGCCTAGAAAATTAGTGAATTCTGGGTGGGTCTGTGAGTGATTGATATGTAGGTCAGCACACTGAGAAAAGACCAACAGATTTGTGGTTTGGACAAAATAAAAAGGGGAAGAAGGAAAGCATGTCTCTTTTTGGAGGGAACGTCTTCTTTGGTACTGCCTTGTACGTCAGTGTTCAGTTACTTCAGCCTTCCAGTCAGACTTGTCATCTTTCCAACCAGGCTCTTCAACCTTCCAACATAAACTTGTCCTACTGACTCATTAATCTTCCAGGCCTTCAGCCTGCAATTCCCAGTAGTTCCCTCAGCTCCCCAGTAACAGAGGCGGCCATTTTGGATTCTTCTATCTCTGCATTATGGACTCTGCTCCTTCTGATCCTGAAAACCTACCTAATCTTTTTGTATAATTACACACAGATTTCGTATCAATTCTGTTTCTTTAAAAAAAAACTCTACCTAATTTGAGATGGAAGGAGAGATACACGATAAAGTCCATTTGTTCATTTATTGTCTACTCATTAGAGACAAGGTCATGGGTGTGCCTACAGGAAAAGGCAGAGATGATCACTGAATAAAAATTGATGACTGAATATAGAGTTGTCTTGAAAGGACAGGCCTTCTAAGGCCTGTTAGAAGTATGAAGATTTAGGGGCAGAATGGCTCAGCCATTGTGGGGAAGGCCCTCAGGCATGGGTTCCAGGTGACAGATGACAGGTGGTAGTGATTAATGAAAAGAGAGAGCACAACAGAAGTTAGCCTGAATTTGTAGTGGGTCTCTTAGCGCTGTCCCTTTGTTTTCTCAGCGCCCATACTCTCTGGTCCCAAGGCAGAAATGGAAAGACAACACTGGGAATAGGCTGGGATATTTTACCTATAATGTTAAATGTAGTGCGTGTGGAATTATGAGCCAAATCAGTACAAAATTCCATTCACAATAAACTGTTTAAAGCTATTATATGTTTGTATAAATTAAAGACAAAAAGATGCTACTGTAAATTAAATGTAGACATTTAGTAAACAATATTTATCATACTAGAGTTAATTTAAGTGCATTGAATGTAAAGATTGTTTTATTTCTTGGGCTTGCTTTGGAAAAAGGTAATGATTTTTAAATTGATTTCCCGCCAGTTACTGTGGTAGAGACTAGCTGCTCACTGAACCAGTTTCCTCTTTTCCTGGACACCCTGCCTGATGACATTTCTCAGTTGCTCTTAATGTTGAGTATGGCTGTGGGCCGAGTCCTGACCTCCATAGGCAGATAAAATTGATGTGTGACATCTGCCGGCTAAGCCCATAAAAAGCAGCTATGGTTCGGCCTCCTTTTCCTCTCTCTCTCTCCTACTGGATGGACAGCAGAAGACCCAGCTGTCACTCTGGAGGCCGAGGGGTTAAAGAAGCCAGCATTTCTGACTTTCATAGGGCAGGCCACCCCTACAAAACTCAACAGAACTCCGATGAATGTAAAATAAGCTTCTCTTGGTTAGACCTCTGGGGTTGATTTGTTGTAGCATGGGAAGAAAGCTTTGAAGCATAGCCACTGGACCTAAGAGACTCTGAAACAAAAGCTTCCAGGGTCCGCATGGTTCCTGACCTCCGCAGAGGGGCCAGCTAAGCTGTCCAGAGCAGCAGTGTGAATTCCTGGGGAGGAGAGTCCCCATGGGCCTGCTCAGTGTTTAATTCCTAGGAACAAACCCAGGGGTGGTGACCCAAATGCCTGTAATCCTAGCAGACTGTAAGGCTAAGGAAGGAGGATCCCAAATTCAGAAATGCCACCTACCTGGTCAACTTAGGGACTTGGCAGGACTGCATCTCAAAATAAAAAATAAAGGAGAGGGCTTGAAATGTAGCTAAGTGTAGAGGCCCTGGGTTTAGTCTCCAGGACTGGAAAAAAAAATTCTAGGACTGGGGAAAGGAATTTGGGAAACACCACTGGGTGCCATCTTGGAATTTTAAACCCAAGTAAAAATATTTTCCAAATCAGAGACAAAGCAAAGACATTTCCCAGTAAATAGAAACTAAAAGAATTCATCAGCAAATTTCCACTTTAAAAAATACTAAAGGAAATTCTTTGGGCATGAGAAAAATGATCTCAGAAGAGTAGAAATTCAGGGGAAAAATAAGTAAATGGGAATAATCTAGATGAATACACACTGTATACAACAGTAGTAGTGATGCCTTGTGTAGCTTGAAATATATAGTACTAAACACATGACAAGAATAGCTTAATAAGCCCAGAGAAGGCAGGAAAGAAATGGAGTTAAAATTTGTTAATGTTTTATTATTAATTCACTCTACAATAGCAAGTCAAGAATGCATGTCAATTCCCAGAGTACCTACTAAACAATAGGAAAAGAAAATGCTATAACATAAAATATTTACCAAATTCAAAAGGAAAAATATATAAAATAAGCAGGACCAGTAAAAATTAGTAAGATGGAATATATAAATCAAAATATCACCATGGATATCGTTAAACACAAAACTAAAGTTATGGATTTTGGTTTTGTAGAAACAAGGTAAGCTGCTTTTTATTGGATAGATGGAAGCACATAACATATGGTAGGTTCAATGAAACTAAGCAAAGTATTGTATTATTTATGATGCAGTTAAAAGTAAAATATTCTTTTCAAACCACAAATAAGTCTGGGGTCACTTCTTTTTGAAAGGTCACTGGGGTCCTTTCTTTTACCAAAGATGGTTTCTCAAGGTTTGAAACATTACTCTGCCATGAGGAGATAGGGTAAGTGGAGGAAAATAAAATGAAAACAATTATATTTCTTTAAAAGATTGACTTCTATAGCCTTTGTGAAAAGATAATATTAAAAGATTTCAGTAGGAGCTAGATAATTCATATTTTCAAGCTATTCAGAACAGAAATGAAGTTAGCAGTTAGTATATCAATTGCATTTCCAGGAAAAGAAGTACATATTCCCATGAATTTAACTGTAAATATCAAAAATTATCTGGACCTCATAGTATAACACATGAAAACAAAAATTAAAGTTAGTGTGTCTACTAAAGAAAGCAAACTATTTACTATGCATATTAGTGAGGTGTGGGGACCACTAATACTGCTTCAAAACTCAAGCGTGTCTAAGGACATTTGAGGACCTGATCCTGCTTGTTTAGTGCAGGCTCACAGTGGGACACAGTTACGAAACCACAACCTAGCACAGGCAGACACGCATGCGCAGGCTACAGCACTATGTAGGAATGTAAACATGAGGTAACAACCTGTGTAAGAATTATACAGCAAAGACACAGGCAGCTCCGGCTCTTGTTCTTGGGCTCTTGCGCTCTCGTGCGCTGCTGTGCTCCGTGCTACCTGCTGTTGTTGCTGATATCCTGCAAATATACATTCTTTAATGTTGGGAACTCACTTGTGAAAATCTCTCTTGGGCTCCCCTCCCGCTGAACAGGCTGACATGAAGTTTTTGAGTCCAGGCTCTGAGAATCAAGACTGGACAGAGACCAGTTGCTCTTTATTACAAGTTTCTCAAACTTGGAACCCTCACCCACCCCATAGTCCCAAAGGTGAACAAATTTCATAACGAGTTGCTTTATATTAAAGAATAATTGTTCAACATTCATTTCCAATTATTAAATATTGAATTCATCATTAAAGTTGTTTTATGTACTATAAATTCTCAAATTTATGATATAAGTAGTATATTGTATATATTGCAGCTAACACAGCCCTGTTTACATTTCTAAGTTAAAGTGTTCCCATGAAGCCCATACACTTAGGTATAACACTTTAAAAGATAACTAATATTACCTAAGGATTGTACTTCCTTTTATTTACCAGTGTCCTGTCACAAAAACTCAGGCCGAATCCTGTGCCCCTTTCTCATCACACATGTGAGATGTTCTATACGATATGGGCATGGATGGTAGATTTGATTTCCCAGTAGAAAAAAATCAGTTGCTATCAACTATGTTCTCTTATTAATTTATCAAATCAGAAATACAGTACTCTGAAGTTCATCTGATATTCATTTCTTGATAGCTCCAAATGAAAATTCTCTCCATACATAGGGAATAATTCCACATCTAAGATTCTCATTTGGCTCTAAAATATATTATTATTACTAGAAAACCCAAAAATCCACAATAGCTTGTCATAAATGCCCCCATAGACTACTAGTTCATTTCTCTGCTTCACAGATAAACTTGTTGAATCCCAAAAGAAAGAATCAATAGTTCTACCTTGGTTTGCTCAGTCAGGCTTGAAAACAAAAAACAAACTCTCCTAGAGGGGACAGAGATTAGAGATTAGAGTCAGGAGACCAAGTTCTAGGTCTCACATCTTTCTAACATTCACTGTGCAGTACACATACACTGCTTCGCCTCTCTGTGCTAACTTACCTTTTCTGGAAACAAAGATAATCACACTCATCTCAAGAGATGTAGAGATCTAGACTTTATGCTTTCATTCACATAATTTTAGAATTTTACCTAAGTCTGATTCATGCAGTCAGTGTGACCTTGTGCTGTTCCTGGATGTTTCTGTAGTAACTGCGTTGGCACCAGGGCCTTATGATCTCACCACACAGTGTAAGAAGAAATGTTTCACATGTGTTCCAACAAAGAAAAGTTATTGAAGAATTACTCATAGGGATGCAGGCCCACAGAAACCAAGAGCACTCTCAAGGCAATCAAGAATTCCATAATCATACTTAGAGTACCTGTTTTTTCAGATCTTATATTTTATATATATCAACTTTGCAAAGTTCGTCAGCTGTAAAAACTCAACCAAATTAACTACACAAAGCATTATAGTAAAATCCAAGTCTTTGGATTTGAGGCTGATTCTGAAGTTGGGTGGGGACAATTTTTTAGGCCCGAGCCATTAACATATATGGTCTGGGCTAATCTCAAGTAGTATCAGAATTGAGTGGTAGGATACCTAGTTGGTGTGTGGAAAAGCCTTAGAAATTAGAGGTCATCAGTGTTGTGAATATCGAAAAACTGTTACAGAAAGATGTAGTTGGACTTCTTCCCCTGGGATGCGGATGAGAGCTTGGAGGCAGTGGAAAGAATAGGGAATTACTAGTGGCCATGCCTGGCATCTCTTGGCCCACGGGGATTCCTTAACCATTGAGAGAGGGTCAGTACCAATTGGGAACCTGCCCTGCCACTCCAGGTCCTTAGGAAATAAAGAAGGATGCAACCTCACTACCCTTGGGAGAGAGCAGGGGAGCAGAGAGATTTCCTCCTGGAAGCTGGCTGCCATCAGTCATCAGCAGACAGCTTAGGAGTGCTGGTAAACTGAGTCCCTGCACACGGGTCCAAGGCAAAGACAAACAATCCAAGGCTCGAGTATCAGTGCAAAGAAAAAAGTAAAACCTCCAATGCACCAGAGCCACGGAAGGCATCTGGTGATAATCAGAATGGAAAAAAAAGCAAGGAAGCTCAAAAGTTTTTTTCTGAAATAAAAACATGAGTTTCAAATGCACATGATTTAGGAGATAAACGGAAGGGGAATGATGTTGCTTTTGGAAACAGATTCTTTCATTGCCTGAGTCTGGTTGTTAATTTAAATGATCAGTTCTTTTTGATCAGTCCTCACCCTTTTAGAGTAAGTTATGAATTTCCAGTTTGATGTATTTAAATAGAAAAGGGAGAAATCTGAGAATAGTCTCTCATGAACTTTGGTTCTTCCGTCCAGGGCTCTGGTCCTCTCCTCTGATGACGGCAGTCACTAGAAACAGGAAGGCACGTGTCTCTTGTCATTAGGATGCGTCTGTCCTTCTGTCTCTTTTTCACTGTCAGTTGTGGCGTGTGGGTGTGGTGGTTCAAAAAAGAACAGGAAAACTCTAAGGCCAGGCATCGAGGCTCTGTAACAGCTCTGTCTAAAGACAGAGGTTACGGCAGATTAAACTCTTAATCTTTTAGGCTTCAAAATCTTAGAAATGTAGAAGCCCCCTTTGCCTTTGGAATTACATACAGGTTCTGCCCTGAGTTTCCAAATCTTAGTTAGAAACTCAGAAGCCAGTCCTTAGCTTCTTTGTTTTCTGACTCTTCTGGTTCTCTAAGGCAAAGGCAAAAGGTCCTGTCTGTTCTGGGGAAACCTGCCAGAATGTGCAGGACCCTTCAGCAGCAAGTAGGTAACCCACCACAGCAGGTGACCACCAGCAGGCAAGCATACCTTTAAAACAGCTAACAACCTGCATAACCCCTCTCTTCCTTCCCTTGTCCTTTACCCCTCCCCGACGGGCCCGCCTGCCCACTCACCATGTATCCTGTGCTCTTGCTGGCCGGGCCCTATTTTCATGCCTCTGTTCTTTGCCAGTGCTGTCGGTGTCTAGAATATTCTTCCATCCTCTTATTCTCTCTCTTGCCAGGAGCTTATTTAATCACTGAAGTCTTGGCTCCAGCATCCTTCCCGGAGGGGAGCCTGAGTCCAGGTGCACCCGGGCTTCCTTCTGTGTGTCTCGCCAGCAGGAAGTCCTTGCCAATAAAAAGACACTTATCAAATAACTTTATGGTCAACTGTGGGATTTCCTCACCTAGCAGTTAGCCATGAGGGAGACAGAGCATTGTCTTAGGCAATTTTGAAACCCTAGTGTCTAGCACAGTGCTCAGTATGCAGGAAGCCTTCTATAAATAATGAAAACTTAAATCAATTAAAGAGTATAGGGGGGAAATGGAGGGGGAATCTGCAGGAGGCACACATTTGGGTAAGGGAAAGGCAGTAATGTAATTGGTTTTATAAACATTAAGTTGGAGGACACTAAATGCCCCCTATAGGATGTTCAGTAAAGACTGTTGCCTAACTTAATCTTGACTCTCCTGAATTCCCAGTCCTGCCACCTGTGTCTTGAAATGATGCAAGTTCCAGTTTAGGACTTACTCAGTTATTTTGGTGGGAAAAATGTTGCCACACTTAAATGGGGGAAATTAAGGAGGGAGATTATGTTAAAGAAAAGTAAAAGGAATATTGAAGCTCTCAGGGGTTAGCAATATCTTTCTGAGTGCTGAAAGGGAAGTAAATAGCAGTTACTGGAATTTTCCCGAAGGGAGATCGAGCTGTTGTGGTAGCTGCAGGTGCAAGAGAGGCTGAGACCTTTGGTGGAGAGAGGAAGCCACTGTCAGTAAAGCCACACAGAGGAAGCTGGAGGAATAAGTGTCCTGCCCTCCTTTCCTATCCGTCTTCAGACTCCTGCTGACACTTGGCACAGGCCTAACCCAACTGGAAATCAGTTGATATGAGGATGTGTTTCATACTTTCCAGAAAGATCAGCCTCTGGGGCCTTGAGTAGGTGGGGAAAGTAACCAAGATGACCCAGCACAGAGGCTATTGAATCACATCTCATAACTGCTTTGTCTTTAGTGGAGTGTGACTTTTGAGACAATGTTTTAAAGATCTCAGGAGTGTCTGCTCGCACTTCGAAGACCAAGGCAGGAAGATTGTATGCTGGAGCCAGCCTGAGCAAATTATTGACCTTGTCTCAAAACAAACAAACAGATAAGCAAACAAACAAATAAACGATATCTGGGGGATGTAGGTTAGTGAGAAGACCTGGGTTTAATAAGCCCCAGTGCTGGAAAACAAACAAAGTTGAGACTCAAGCCGGACTGACCAAGGTGATCATTTAGCCAAGGAAAGACACTAAACAGTGAACTGGAATCCACGAAGACAGCCAGAGTCCTGATCTGGATAGAGAAGCCAGACCCAGCAGGAGTCTAAGAAGTCTGAGGGCAGGGCCAGAGGGAAAGAAGAGGAAGAAAGTGGCATAAGCTCGCTGCAGAGGCTTCTGGTGGAGGGGGCTGGTTCAGGATGGGCCACAGGTTTGCTAATACTGCTGAGTCACACCGGGCTAGACCCTGCACAACTTTTGCAGACCATTTTCACACACTAGGGAAAAGTTTGCATCGTGACCCCTTTCTAAACCTCTCTCCTTCAGGGCTTTGTCTTTTCTCTCTAAACTTCCCACCAATTTATGCTCTACATACAAATGAGCGCAGGGTGGTGGTCTGAAAAATTCACTCTGTCTGGGTCATTCCTAGCGTCTGTCTTCTCTCTGCCTGGGGTATCAGAATCCTTGACAAAATGCTTTACGGTCCCCTGCTCCCGGTTCTCCCACCCACTTCCCGTGTGGTGCTCTGGGTTTGGGCTTCTTTGCACTGAAATATACTCCAGAGGCAACTGACCATCCTTCAAGGTGATTTTTCTGTCCTGGGCCTTGGATTTTTTTTTTCAGTTTTTTAAAAAAATTTGTGATTATAAGAACCTCACTTTCTTGGAACTCCTTCCTTTCTTCATGTCCATGACCTAGCGTTCTCCTACATCACCTGCATATATTTTCCGTAGTCCCTAATTTTCTCTAGTAATGATGTGGTGTTCTTTGTGAAACTGGACATCCTAGGTTCAAATTCATGTTCAACCCCTTCCTGTTTGTGCAGTGTTGGATTAAGTCACTGGACCCAGCAGAACCTGGGCTTCATGGTCTGTTGGGTAGAGACATGGGCATGGTCGCTGCCCCTTTGGGTTGAGTGGGAGTCTGTGGCAGGGTGAATGTGAATACTTTGGGCTGCTTGGCTGGTAGTAAGTGCTCAGAGTGTGCTGTGAGTAGCTTTATCTCCCTCTTCTGGCCTCTGATATATTTTATTCCACCAAGCAGAGCTACAGCGTGTGACCATACAATACAGAGAATGTGAGTACCGTAAAAGCACGTTGCCATTAATATTTCTCCTTGCTCTGAACACACCGCATTGTCCTTGCCACTTCCTGGAGCAGTTCTGCTCTGTGCCTTTAGCTGCACTGTCATGGTTGCCTCCATATCCTGAATCAGTTCCGCCCATTTCCCTTTCATGATCATTTTGACTTTGAGGAAGAGCCGGATGTCACACAGCGCTAGGTCTGGTGAATAAGGCAGGTGAGGACACACTGTAATGTTTTTACAAGTCTACTTTTCTGTTGGGTGGTGCCCAGCATATACATTCACTGTGGTTCTCATCAAGCCTCGTAAAGACATGAAAGAAAATTTCTAGAACTGCTTCAGGAAGTGGCAAGAATAATGGGCAAGAATAATGGGTGTGTTTGGAGCATGGGGAGTATTTTGAGAGGACTGATGGCAATGTTCCTTTTACTGTAGTAAATGAGTTTTATTTACGCACACCATATTTTGATCAGCTCTTGTGTGCCTTTACCTTGCTTTTCTGCTTTGCTGCTGATGTTCGTATCATTGCCTCCTCTAAATCCTCTTCCCATCTTCATGTATTAAAGTCCTTCTACTTCTTTAAGACTTCCTTAGATGTTACCTTTTTCATGAAGTCCTTGCAGGTCACTGAAGCTCAAGATGGTTTTTTGCTCCAGTGAAGTCTCACAGCCTTTTGCTCATTCTTCAGGTATTAGTATAATTATTTAATTATATTTTAATTGCACTGTAATTATTAACCCTGTAATTTGTTCTTCCTTTAGCATAACTCTGTGTTCCACAAACATTTCCCTTACTTTTTTTCTTTCTTTCTTTTTGGTAGCGGGGATCGAACTCAGGACCTCACCCTTGCCAGGCAGGTGCTTATGCCACTGAGCTAAACCCCCAGCCCCTTCCCTTACTTTCCTATTGTAAAATTTTACTTTAATAGTAGCCGGCTGTGTGTCTCAGTACTTTTACCTGAGGGGGACAGGAACCAATCTTTGTGTTTACCCATCTGGTACAATGAACGACAAGGTATGTGCCTGTGTGCAAAATGTCAAACCAGGATTTTCACCAACATTATACTCTGTGTAACACATTTGGCATATATTTACTTGAGTATCACAGAGCATGTAATATACCCGCACCTCTCTAGGATTTGTTTTTAAAAATGTTTTCTTTTGATTTTCTAATAAAATAAACCTACTCAGTACAATGGTACATGAGAAACCAATTTGTAAGTTTTGGAGGAGGTGAAATGTGAATTATCAGATTGCTCATGCACAGATGATGAAGATGATCCACTATGGTAAAATATCTGTTATCATTACAGAAGAGTGGTGTGGGTAGATGATGACGATGATGATGATAATGACTTTGATACTGGCCATAAAAACCAAAGATCCTGTGACAGTGAAATGGAACAAGAAATGACTGATATGCAACCAGGGGATGCAGATCTCCTTGATTCAGACAACAAAGAAAACAACAAAGTGAGTACATGTTTGATTAGTCAGAATGCTGTGAAATGGTCCACATGCAATGATCCAGTGTTAGAAAATGTAGTCCAAAATATAGCGAGGGTGTTGGCAGGGGTGAAACATATTGGACAGAATGCCAGCACTTTGTAACAAATGAAATGCTCAAGATGCTGTGAACACAGGAAGGCTGAAATACAACTAAACTGTTCAGTTGCAACAATAGCCATATTCAGAAATGCCATATTATGATACCACATGAGCTGAATTGAAAGGTCTTTCTGTAGTTCGCAGGAATTTCTCATGGTAATTACAGGAATGTAAAATGATGGAAAAGTCATGGGTCAAAATACGGCATAAAAATGTATGTCCTTGTTGATGCAAAGACTTATGCTTTCAGTTTAGAGATTTATCCTGGAATTAAGCCATCAAGTGCTTATTAATATAACAATAAATTGAATGATGTTATAAACCAACTTGTTGCTCCTATCTCCCAAACTAATTGGATTTTGACATTTGACAATTAGCTTACCAGTTTCCAATTAATGTTACATTTGCTAACAAAGCACAAGTTGGCCAGCACAGGAACTGTACACTGTAACCAAGAAGAAATGCCAAGTGAAATGCTGCAATTTCAAAGCAGAGAATTGTATAGTATAATCTTTGGGTTTCAGAAAGATTTACTCTGGCCTCATATGCATCAAAGAAAAACAAACTGGTACTGCTGATGTCAACATTGCATTATGATGGAAAAATTGATAGGGAAGTGTCAATAAAACAGAAGTTATACAACAGCTGTCACTCAAAATACAAAGCATTGGATAATGGTTGTGTTTTACTCCATCCTAAACATGTGTGGCATAGTTTGATAGTTTACAAAGAAAATAATAAGTGCAAAATAACATGGAGAAATTTTCTTAGAGAATTGGGACTGAAACTCATAAGAGAGCATTTACAGCAGAGGAAAAACAAAATGTTTCTGCCCAGGGAACTACACAAAAAATTGTGGAGCACCCTAATGAGTTGACAGATGAACAGGTAAGCACAGCACTTAACTACGATGACAAGAAAACCAAAAAGATGTCAACTGTGCCCTACAAAGAAGGACTGGAAAGCAAAACATATGTGCTATGAGTGTCAGTGACACATATATGGAATATGCAATTTTCATGTGTGAAGACTTCCTTGGGTGTGACAATTGAAGCAATGATGATTTTTTGTTGTAGAGTCCTGTTGATATTTTCACTGAAGTTCACATAGGTTTTCTAATGTGATCTCTTAGGTTTTGTAAGCAGGTAAACAGCCAGCATGAAAATGTTGGTGTCTATTCTAAGCACTCATTACATGTTTGATATTTTATTTTACTGATCTTACTACCCTGGTAAGTGCATGTGGTACAACATAGTACACAGCTCCTGACAAAAACAAGAAGAGAAGAGAGATGACAGGACTGCCACATAGGAAAGGAAAGCTAAGCACACATACTGTCAGTGTAAGTGAGACGTGTGCACGGAGCATGCAGTTGTTATGTATGAAGACTGCCTTGGGCCTGACAGTTGAAGCAAAGCTGATTTCTGTGATAGAGCTGTGTTTGCGTTTATATTGTTGCTCACATAGGTGTTTATTTCAGATGTTTTTTCTTAGATTTTGTAAGCAAGCACATAACTGATGTGAAAATGTTTTTATTTTAAATGCACAATGCATAAAGAGAATATACTTTATTTTATTGATATTTTATGTTTCTGTTGGCTACACATTGCATAATGTAATATGAGCCTGCTCACAAAGCAGCAAGACCAGTGAGACGTCAAGTATGTCCTCCAAAAAGGCCAGGAAAGCAAAACATATGTCAGTGTAAGCCATATATACATATGGAACGCGGTGTTGTCCTGTGTGAAGACTCTTTTAGGTGTGATAATTGAAGTAAAGATTTTTCTTGTAGAGCGCTATTGATATTTTAATTTTAGTTCATATAGGAATTTATTTCTGTTGTTCCTTTGTTAGGCTCTGTACACCAAAAAATGAGCTCAAGGCCAGCCTGAACTGCATAGAGAGACCCTGTCTCAAAAAAAAAAAAAAAAAAAAAAAGACCATAAATAAATAAATAAATAAATAGTACTGAATAACACAGTTTTCCAAGCTGAAAAAAATGTACGTCACCTTTAGTTCTTTCTTCTCTTAATCATCAAATAAGATCTTTTCAGTTTCTAAATTTAGTGACTTTTAAAATTTCAGTTAGTTTACCATGTGCATAAAATGATACCCCCTGTGTAATGGTGGATTTGTTTCTTTCATTCCCATCATACTGCCTGTGTTATTTTTTTCCTTTTCCTTGGACCTCAAATAGTTTGTTAAATAAAAATAGTGATGGCAGGAATCTAAAGAAAATACTTCTATACTTAGCTCTAGTTTCTTGACAGATGCTCCTTATCAAGTTAAGAAAGCTTCCAAGTATTTTTCAGAAAATCATAAATGTGTGTCACTTTTTAATCAAATGTTTTTTCTAAGTGTCTTGAGATGACTGCATTTTCTTACCTGCATAAGATTGAAGCTCTAAAACTCACAGGGGAATTATTCTGCATTTTTCTCTTCTCACACTGCCCTTGTCTATGTTTAGTGTCAAGCATGCATTCTCTTGTAATGAAGATGAAGGAGAGGGCCCTCCTATTTTTCTCATTAGAATGGCTCATCAATTATTGTTATTATATGCTGCTTACTTTCTTTAATTAAATAAATCTCATTTGAGCTTTCTTCTTTAATCTGCTTTAACTTATTTTGTGTTTTAAAGGATTATTTGTGAATTCAAACTTTCAAATTTGTTGACAAGATTGTTCTAACTAGTTTTTTCCTATCTTTGTACTTGGTGTCGTATATTATTTCACCGACTTTCCAGTCCTCTTTAAGAGAAGTGTTGAGGTCATAAAAGACATAAAGACCAAAGAACTGTCAGAGATTAGAGGTGATTAAGGAAGATGAAATAATTAAGTGCAAAATGGGGCCTGGTCACGATCCTGGAAGAGATAAAGCCCATGAGAGGAACAAGGAGTGAGATATGAACAAGGCCTGCAGTTTGGTTAATAATACCATATCAGTGTTCGCTTCCTGGTTTTGATAATTCCATTGTGATTACGTAAGAGACTGACATTAGAAGAAGCTAGGTGAAGGAAAAATGGAAACGCTTCCGGTCGGAAACTTTCCTGTAAATCTAAAATTAGTTTGAAGCCAAAACTTTGAAAAAAGATCAATCTGGTTGTTGTGTAGAAAGTGACGGTGGCTGGGTGCAGATTGGAACAGAGGAAAACAACTACCAGTTCAGGAAAAGTGGCTGCAAAAGTGGCAGCTGCCAATGTGATAGGATTTATTAAATTTTAAAGCTACCGTAATGATTTTTGATTCCAACATCACTGATTGGCATCACCTTCCTTCTTAAATTACCTAATCTTGCTGAAGTTTTCTTGATTTTAAGTCATTTCAAAGAATTGACTTAGAAATCCTTTCCAGTTTTCCTTTTATTAATTGAGTTTATCTCTGCTTTTTATTTCTTTAATAAATATTTGCTGAGTTCCTATTATATTCCAGGCAAGATTGACCAAAACTCCTCTCGCCTAATGTATCAAGTCAGATGAGCCTACTAGCAGTGTATGAGGGGAGTGGTACATTTGGGATCAAAACCTACACAGAACCAGCGAGCATGAAGACATAGTGGGTAATCCGTGTCACCCACGGTGGCAGAGTGCCCCTGCTCCAACTCACACTCATAGCCATAGGAAGGGGATTGTGTGAGCCGATACAACTACCTGAAGGAGACGGCGTCACCCTGAACTTGTAGTACAGATGAGTTGGCTTTGTATATCGTGCAAGCTGAAAATGCATGGTAGTCACAATTACACATCAGAGCCACACTCGAGAATGGTCCTGAAAGAGGAGGGCTGAGCTACAGCTCAGCGATGATGTATGGGGCTCTGGGCTTGATTGCAAGTATAAATGGAGTAAAATAAAATAAAAAAATAGATAGTGGAAAGGACAGGTGGTCCTTGGAGTATGGAGCATGGTGATCTTTGTGTGTTATGTTAATGATCACTGGGAAAACTTACACCCTGAAAGAGTCTTTGAACTCCAAGCAAACAAATGAACTCACCTACTTGGTATTAGCCAGACCTCATCATCAGCCACCCTAGGTGGGCATGATGGACAGATGAATGAAGTGGCCACAGTGGATTGGAGGCTACTGGTCTGACTCAGTTACTGCTACCTTTGAATGTCCAACCAGTCAGCAACGTAGACCAATACTGAGCACCAGTTATAATTTCCTTAAAAAAGGAAACAATCACTTAATGGCAAATCAGTTAATTAGGCTCTTTCCATCCTGGAAAAACAAGTCATTTCTCCCCATAGGAAAGGTGCATTATTCCAGGCACGATATTTTCTTTCCTTCCCAGACCTAGAATCTTTGTGTGGTATGCTTGATCTCAGGCCTTGGATCCCATGTGATGCAGAACTTCACGGGAGACATATTTTACAGTAAAGGAGGTATTGGGGTGAGCCAATGCCCAGGGGTTTTATAGGTTGTGTTATATCCCATAGTTCCCCAAAGAAGCTTGCAAGCTTCAACAGAATTCTGAAACAGCTTTGTAAAGTCACAGATATTGTAAAGTCACTGGCTCAGAGATAATGCTCTGAGAAGATGGGAGTGGTGTCCTGTAGGGTGCAACATAGATAGATGTTAAATGAGAGACCTCTGTATGATATGGTATTCCCATTTAAAAGAATCAATAACAAGGAACTAAAGGGTTGAAGCATGAATGCCCCTCTCCCATTACTATCAATGATCCATTAAGAGGACTTGTGCTTCTCATCCCTGCAACAAGGGATTTTCAGACTTAGAACCCTTGATCTCCAAGGAGACTCAATCTTACAAGGGGACAATTGATCTACATAGTTGCAATCACCATTGAAACACTTAGATTCCTTATACCTTGGGAAGCTATGAGGTAGGAACTATTATACAAGGGATACAGGAGTAAGACATGTGGGATCTAGCTATCTACTTGGGAACCCCTTGGTTCTCCCTGGAACTATTATACAAGGGATACAGGAGTAAGACATGTGGGATCTAGCTATCTACTTGGGAACCCCTTGGTTCTCCCTGGCCCCAGTGTAACTGGGACAGAACATAGCAGCACCATCAGCCTCAGGAGATGTGATTACCAAGAGGCCAGGCACCTCAGAAAGGAAGTTTTGGGTCATAGTAACAATATCTTTAGTCTGTTTAGGCTTCTATAACAAATATCACAGATGGGTGGTTTGCAAACAACAGAAATTTATTTCCTCAGATCAAGAGGCTGGGGAGGTCCAGGCTCAAGGTGCCAGCAGACTTGATGTCTGGTAAGGGCTCTTTCCTAGATCATAGATGGCACTTTTTCAATGACAGCTTTCTACCTCACTTGGTGGGAAAGCTATCTGGATCTCTAGGTTCTCCTTCATAAGAAAACTAATTCCAATCTCAAGGGCTCCATTATTACAATCTAATCATAACAGGAATTAGTGAGATGGCTGTTTTCTATTGGGCAGTTGGGATTCTATTGGGACAGCAGCCCCAAAATGGAGTCAGGAAACTCAAAATGAAGTTTACTGAGTCACAAACTTCCTGCAATCTTATAAAAACACCTTCCAGGTGTCCTTCAGCTATCTGGGTCCTCGATCAGGTAGACCCTTGGCTCAAGGGCTCATGGACCCTACATGGGCATGCAGTGAACACTGCCTAGACTAAACTCTGAAAAGTATGTAGTCTGCTATCCAGTTGAGATATACAGTTTACACAGCAACTCGAGTTCCCTTCTAGATCTCTTAAAAACTCCCAGGAAGAGTTTTCCTGGGTATCCTACTGAAAACCCCTTCCAGTTAGTGAGAGTTTTACCTCCTTGCTTTTATATCTTTTAAATACATTGCTCGCATCCAGCCCCCTTCTCGTTTCTCATCATTATGGGACCTGATCCCATAACATAATCATCACCTCCCAAGCTCCCACCTCCTTTGCCACCCCTTTGTGGGTTAGGATTTTAACACATGGGTATTGAGGGATGCAAACTTTGAGATCATAGCAACCAAGCAAGCTACCAAGTTCATAGTGGAAGGGGAGGGAAATTTGGAATGGGGAAATGGAAGAGGCTGCTGTGTACCAATTATGGCCAGGGAACAATTACAACAACGCCCCCTTCTTAGTTTTATCTTAAGATTAAGCACCTGGGAAAATATAGACTTGCTGCTTTCCAAAGCTCTGTGGAGAAGCGGGTCTGTGGAGTGTAAAAGGTAGACTGTGGCAGCCATAGAAACGAGCTGCTCAGGTTTTCTGTGGAGCTGATTGACACTGTCAAGACTCACTGTCCAAATCCTCCTCCATGTTTACGTGCAAATCTTGGTTCCTTTTGGAGCAAGCTGCAACCCCCGGAGTGCATGCAGCCTTGGGGTGTTGTGACCTGTGACTGAGTATGGCAGACTCATTCCTGCTGGTCACGGAACAATTCCAGGGAAAACTGGCTCCAGGACCCCCCATTTCCTTGGTCAAATTTTTTTAGAATTATCCTGCAGGTTGAGGATCCTCCTATCCAAACCCCTAGGCTTCCACCTCTCTTCACTGATGTCACCATGATCTGAGGTTTTTCTACCCCTCCTGCCTCCTTTATGCTTCAAAGTGCACAGGTCTTTTAAATGAACATTTAGTCCTGTCTCGGCTTCTGCTTCTTGAAGGATTGTAACCGATACTTGATATTTAAAGCAATAAGATGAGATTAAATGATCAAATTATGGAAGATAACTGCTGGAACAGTGGCATGTGCTTTTAACCCCAGCACTGGGGAGGAGGAGGCAGGATCATCATTATGCGTTTAAGACCACACTGGGCTACATAGTGAGTTCAAGTCTAGCCTGAACTACATAGCGAGACCCTGTGTAAAGCCAACAAACAAACAAACCAAGAAAGAAAAAACTAAGAAAAAAAGAAAGGCTGAGCTCTGGAGCTCTCCAGCATTCAGAGTGACAAAGAAGAGAAAGAACAATGGAGACTTAGAAGGGCTGGCGAGTGAGTTAAGAAGAAAACCAAGAGAATGCAAAGTGTCTGAAGCCAGGAAAACCAAGTATACTCAAGAAAAAGAATGATCTACTACGTCACAGTTCCCATAAGGTTATGTATGCTGAAGACCAAGAGTTTACCAAGGTGACATTAGAATCACTGGCGACCTTGACACTGGAGATGCTAAGGATAGGCAGGTGTTTTGTTTTGCTCCAGAGATAAACAGTGGCGTGGAGCTAGCAGGGAAACTGAAGTAAAAATAAAAAAAGTGTTCTTACAATGTGAGAGATGATAAGATATTAATTTACCACTGGAATGATTCAGTGAAGCTGAAAACCTGATGATACAAGTGTGGGAGGGAAGCATTACTGGAGTCGGGGGTAAGTGATGACAAACCCAAGGGGAGGCGCTTCAGGGAGAATTAGCTCCACCTCCTCCCTCCTCCCAGGCCCAGGGGTCATCAGTAGAACAGATTTCTGACCACTGACACTTCCGTGCTTTTGATGGTTCATGGATGCATTACCCTGAGAAAAAACCTGGGCTTCTTATGCTGGTATATACAATCCATTTTTCCCACTGATTTATTCATTTCATTAAAAAAAACAGTTTGTGTTTATATTGTTTGATCAGTTAGCATGCCTATATCTTGTATTCTGAGCAACTACTTTGAAAATGACAATATGCAATGTATTAACCATTGTTAATGAAATTCTGTATCATTTTTTTTTCTTTAAAAAACAAAACACATTTTTCCCTTCTGGCTCCTCGATGTTCACCTGGCCAGCTATTGTCCTAGTCTCACTGTGGTCCCCAGGGGTCCTGGGCTTTATCTCTGTTGCTGCCCCTAGTCTGCTTCAGCTCCCGTCTCTGCAGCTCCCTGAACCTGCGCTCAGCTCCAGGAAAGCTTATAGCTGTCTACTTCCTGCTTCCCCCTTCACAACCAATTCCTGGTCTTCTCTGGACCTGGAGTGCTGGAGTTTCTCGCCAGAGTACGTACTTGTGTCAGTATTTGTGTTGGATGTAATAAACTTTTTATTATTAATTATATGAATTCTCAAAATAGATTTAAATCACTGGAGAGAAAAATCAACCTTACTAATTATTTCTACGAAAATATACTTTATGGATTTCTATACCTTTTATGCACCACTGACACTGCTCAGAAAGAGACCCTTAGAGTTTTAGGTCATGAAAGAATTTCAGATATTACTTACGCCATCTCCTTTATTTTCGAGGTAAGGAGTTAGATCTTTGTATTAATTTGTGCATCTACAGTGTATGGAATGCTGGTTCCTGCATACATATGCTCACTAGATCTGGGTATTTGCAGTGTTTTACAGAAAGTGAATATGGGCCTTATTTTTATATACTTACCTGCAATTTATCTCTCTTTTTCTGTAAAATATCTGTTCATATCCTTTCTTTTTTGGGGTGTTGATATTTTTCATATTTATTTTCAGTGCATTTTTATTATGAGGGATATTACCACACATTGTAAGTGTTTTCTGGGCTTATTTATCTTTCTTTAGGTGAATTTTCCTTATGTTTCTGACTTTGGTATCATTCAAAGGATGTTTTACTTTACTTTAAAACAAATTAATCTTTTCTGTATTAAATATGGTACTTTTGTGAACATTTCAGATTTTAATCCACCTAAATTTTTTAATGATATGAAGGAGTAATACGACATAAACATTCCTCAAATTGTAGCTAGTTGTTCCCATACCTTTTCTACAATTATTTTCCATATTGCTGATATGAATGAAGACTTTAACATAAATAACACTGTATACAGAGCACCTATTTTCTTTGTGAGAATTCAGAAGGGGCACAGATTTTGAGGACAAAAAGAGTTTCGTCTGAGTACCTACAGTGCTTCTCCCCTCTACTGTGTGGGTTCAAGAAGAAAATTTGAGTGTGGCCCTGGCACCAAGAGGTCATTGACAAATGTCATTTTGTTGTACCTCATTTTGATTTATTGGTAGTGATCCTAGAGAAAATTCTGTATTTGGGCTCTACCCAGTTCTGTTCATCTATATGCTTGCCAGGATTATACTATGTTAGTTTTTGCTCGTTGATTTATAAATATTAATTTAATATTAAATATTAATTTAATATCTAATAGATAAAAATTATGTGAACTTTAACATTTTATGAATAATTTTAATGCCTTTTCAGAAACATATCTTTATTACAATTATATAATTATATTGTGTGTATACACAATTCCATTAGAAAAGTATATTGATGGCTCTTCTAATCAGTAGGGTCAGCGCCTCAGGTGGAGGAGTAGGGGTTGCCTAAGTACCCGAATAAATTTCTACATTTTACACTGCAGTGATGTATGTGCTCTTACATGTTCCTTAAATATGTACACGTTTGCATGTGCACACAGGTAAATGTTTATCCAACAAGGCTATTTTTGTGAAGGAGGCAAAACAGATCTCAGCCTACCATTGATGACCTCACCTCTCCTGATTTGTTTAATTGCACGTGTAGTATTATTGGTTGTTCCTCTTTCTCAACTTATTACTTATTATTAAAAAACTTTAGGTGGTTTTTGGATATGGTGTGCTTTTGTATTTAGTATGTTAGAATCCAGTATGTAAAAGTATGAAGAACGTGATTTCAACAAGAGAAAGTTCAAAGGCTTCTGGTAATTTTGGTTAACTTAAATTTACTTACCTTTAATTTTTTCCTTCTTCATGGAGAAATTAAATTCTCATTTTCTATTGCCATCAAGATCCAAGTGAAGAAATAGGGTTAAGCTGCAATGTGGGTTTTGTTTTGTTTTATTAAGTATAAATCTAAGTAGAGAATGAAGAAAACATTCTTCTGAAGAAAAATGTTAAGCACTAGCCTGGATTTTAAAAAAAACTCCCATTTCTTGCCCAGTGTCCATACCTTTCATGTTTGACACTTGTCCTATTGAGGGAAAGAGAATAAAATTCCTGATGATTGCAAGGGGCTTTCTAACTTCACGATTTTGTGAACATTAATCTCCTGTGCAGGCTGGTTTACATTTTGGGGACTTTCCACTATGTCAGCTACTAAAGTTCTGTCATTGTTATTATAAACACAGTAAGACCCCAGTGTCTTCAGACACTGCTTTTCCTTTATTTTAACGCATTCCTTTTACCTGATAGTTGAATTACATAATTATTATTTCTTTGCATTCTCTCTTAATCTATGTCTTTTCCCCTTGTTTATTTTCCTTGTTTGTTTTTTGTACGTGCATTGTGGGACAGGGAACATTAGGAAATGTTCCTTTACCAACTACTAGCACTTAGTGCTTTGTGAGATCTTCCACTGGAAGTATTTTTTAAAACTCACCCCGGTTTTGTGACTACTCTTCACATCATAGTGCTGCTTTTATTATTGATGTTGCTTCAGTTTGAAGAAATTGCAACAGATCACCCAGAGAGCTGCAAAAAAGAAATAGTGGAGATTCATGAGATGGTAGTTTCAAGAAAGATTTTAGTTTCCAGAAACTTCATTGGCTTCAATGACTGACAATCAATAGGCTTGGTATTATAGTGGATGCTATGAGATGTATAAAAGAAGTGTTTATTTAGTTATTCATTCATTATTTAGTAAATATTTTATTGAGAGCCACTGGATGGGCGCTGAAGATTCATTGGACAAAAACAAACAAACAAACAAACAAAAGCTAGGTATGAAGCCTCTGTCTGGCAGTGGAGTCAGACATGACTGTTAGAAGTGCTGTGGAGAAAAAGAAGAGGGAGCACATTGATTCAAGACGTGTTCCTTAACCACCACCTAACAGCACTGAGGGTGCATAAACTGGGAAGTGGGTCAGGGGAGCTTCCTATAAGAGTGACCAACTGTAGCAAGTAAACCAGTTGCCTCTTTGTGTGTGTCACCAAGGACAAATCTCCTTCCTGTGTTCCTGCTGGCCATAGCCAATCAAGCCACATGTCTCACAGAAATGTCATGTTGAAACAGAGAGAGGGCAGAAGTGCTTTACATGTCCAAGGAGGGAAAAGGAGACCGAGGGAGAAATGCTCGGGGCCAGGCTCTAAATGTGGGAGTTTGGCCTTCTTTTCCACGTGTGGTCCAAGTCGTATATCACAACAGGAGCTAGGCCTTCCCTCCCCTCAACCATTCAGCCAACCAGGCATCACATCGACAGGCCAAAACTTGCTATCTTTCACATTGATCTACCCTTTTTCCCCTGTCTGGGTGGTTTTCAATCTTAAATGAATGTTGAAGTTACCTAGGGAATTTCATTCATTCATTCATTCACTAACTCATTTATTTTATTTACTTATTGTAATGCTCAGAACCAAAGTCAGGGCCTCATGCATGCTAGGTAAGGGCTCCGTCACTGAGCTATACCCCCAGGCCTCTGCAGAATTTTAAATAATGTTAATGCCCAACTTTCATCCCCAGAGGTTTTTCAAATAGCCTGGGTTTCCTGATTTTTGAAAGCTCTCCAAGTAGTTTTAATGTGTTAATAAGGTTGAGAATTATTAGTCTAAAAGACAAGGATGATCAAGATGAATGCACCACCTCATTCACTAAAGGAAAGAAAATGTTTTCATTAAGCATGATCAGACATCTGCTTTTTTAGCAGAAAAATCACAGAATCATGGTGTCTTAAATAGACATTAAGTTTAGAACTAGTGTAAAAACAAGTTTCTAATCCAGCTACAAGTCTAGTCTTCTAGTAGTCAAAATCTAAAATGAGACAGTATGATGTTAATTCTGTGGTGGTGACAGTTGGTGAAATGCATAATGGAAACTGACCTAAAGGAAAGTGAGGAATGTTAAACAGCATCAGTACTGTGGGACATTATTACTATGGAGTTGATAAGCAAGTTTGCTTTGGGAGCGTGTTCACCTAAGCTTTCACAAGAAATTCAAAATGATTTACTCAGTCCCTGAACCTAGTCCTGCAGACAAAGGATGGTTTAATGCAGAGTTTATTGGTCCACAAACAGAATAAAGACCAAAGAGGAAATATTACATGGAAGCACATTTCCATCCAATGAAAGGAAGAGAGGGGTAACTTTTTGGGAAATATTATTCAATAGTGGGGAAGGAAGCCCTGGGAGATAGAGCTTCTTGACTCAAAATACTACTTAAAGATCAAACATCCTTTATTAGTGATTCTGTGTATGAGACATGTGTATGTTAGATAGGAGGAGGAAGAATTCAAGGAATTCACAAGTCAATAGGATGTGGATATACGTGCTTGAACAAATATACATGTTTAAAAAAGAGTGAGATCTATATTTTCCTCATTAAACTATGCCTGATATTAGAGAAGTAAAATACACTTAAGATTCAGGCTTGTATCCCATAAATTTCAGAATATTGATAACTATCCTGCATGTCTCCATGTTTTACATCTGATGCTCAGTGCCACTTAGGAAAAATGACTCAGGCTAGAAATGACAATCTGCTGCATCCAAAGGTCATCCTGAGCTGACCATCAAAAGACACAAGCAAATGTGGTGTGAATTCCTGATATTTTCCAACCTCCTGTGCCTCTTTCCTGTTGCAGTGATCAGGCCCATAATCTCCTAAACAAATGGACAGCAAATAGTTTAAATAAAAGAGACACATGGTATGATTTTTGGGGGGCACTTAGTACAGTCAAAATTCTCTGAATTTGAGACAAAGAACTTCTCCTGGCAGCTTTTATTTATTTGATCTTCAAACCAAGGCAGGGGATACTGAGGCAAGCCCAGGAACTGAGCAGGACCTTGGGAAGTCAATTCAAAGACCTCTCCAAGCAGCAAATTCTGCCAACTAAGAGAACTGTCTTGTCTCTAAGGCTGGCAGCTTTAGTACTCTGGAATAGCGGTGTCAGTAGCCAGTGTCTTCGGCTGCCTCAGCAGTGGTGTTATCTTGACTTCAGAGCACCGAGCATGTGCTCTTTTCCAACACAACCAGAGGTCCCTGTGTCAAACAACTTAACCCTAAAAAAGCCTGGTCCCCAACACTTTCTGTACCAAGGAGCCCTAAATATTGACCCTTGTCTCTAAATGATCCCACTGCCTCTCCTGCAGGTCTACCCTGACCTTTGCCTTCAGGATCTCTGCTGGAAAATGATGCTTATCTTAGATCACTTAACTCTGTTCTGCTCGCCTCCCACCTTGCCACTAGGTTCCCTCCCTGTCTTTCCAGTCTGCGTGGTTTCTTAGAATAACAATCTGAGAAACTTGCATTAACATTACAGTGCACAATTGGGTTACCCACCCTTAGAAAACAAGAGTGTCTTTGAGCTGGTTTTGGGTGTGGGTGGTGAGTGGGAGAGTGGCGGTCATGAGCAGAATTGGGGAGAACCTTTTTATTCTTCTTAGTTTCAGGTTCTGGCAATTTGGAAGCTCACTTGCCACACCTTGATGTATAAATATGGAGACACAAAGGTAATAAATTTCTTAGCTACAGGTTTTGCTTATAAGCATAGGCAATTTATATGCATTATCCTTGTGTTATGTCAGTGCTGCGGTTGGAACATGCTCTCCCAAAAGCGTATGCTGAAAATTTAATCCCCAAAACAATAATGTTGGAAAGTGGAACTCAATAAAAGGTGATTAGGCTACAGGGGTGTGTTTGTGAAGTGAATGGATTTGTGCCAATATTTTGGGAGTTTGTTATCATGAGAATGCATTTGTTATAAAAGGGGGACTTGAGTCTTAATCTCTTTCTCTGTCTTTCTCTGTCTTTGTCTCTCTCTGTCTCTGACTCTGTCTCCCTCCCCCTTCTATCATGGAGTGATACAGCAAAAAGGTCTTCATAAGGTGTCTGCCCTAGATCTTGGATTTTTCAACCTCCAAAACAATGAATTTCTGTTTCTTATAAATTACCCTTCTCTGGCATCCCATGGTAGATGTGCAAAACACTTGAGGACAATCAGAAATAATTTCTATGAATAGTAAATCAAATTTTATGAAAAGGTTACCATATAGAGTTCAGTTTTAGTTGGGAAGAGAAATTCAATATGGTGCATGTTCCAAGTAGCCAGAAGAGTGTTTTCAGGAGAAAACAAAATCCACATTCTATAATAGACACTTGGAACATCATAACACCTAGGGACCTTATGGTTTCTCAAAGACTTTTATTTCAATTGAATGCCATAAAAATGGAATGTTTTTATTTTCTTGAGAAAATAATAGCAATAGATTTCTTTCTCTCTAGGAAGATTTTTTTCATCCCCATTCTCATCATTGTAGAATTCTAGAACTGGAAAGAGTTTTCTAATTCTGCATTTTATGTTCTGCCTGAATTTTTTTTGTACTAGGAACTGAACTCATGACCTTATGCTTGCTAGGCAGGTACTTAAGTCACTGAGCTAAATCCCAGCTCTGCCTGAATTTTTATAAATTGGATTCTCTTTCTTCTAAAAGCAAAAATAAGGTTTTTCATGAGAAAATGTCAGAGTTACTTGTTTTTCTTTTCATTTGATAATCAGTTCTCAAGACAGGATAGCAGGCACCTGAGAAAGGTCTAACTGTTCTGTAGACAGCATGTTCTTCTGTGCCTGGCCAAAAAAAAAAAAAAAAAAAAAGAAAGAAAAGAAAGTCAAACAATATAAAATTTTCCAAGACTGTCAGCCTCTTCTCTGGAAATTCATTTGTCAAATTCTGCCTGGTTAATAGATGAAAGAATAATAATGCCATGCATGTATAACACACACACACACACACACATACAGAGTCTAGCTTTCTTTCTCTTGGGTTTCCCTATTTTGCTTTTACAGGTACGTAAGGCAACAGAGACTCACAGTGTGGTGGTATTTAAAATTCACATGCATGGAGGAGAACGGCAGCCAGTAAGAGACACCATCGGAGCTGAGTGTTTTCTTTATGAGGTGTTCCTGGGTCAGCCAAGCCACATAGCCTGCATGTGGAAATGAACAGTAGGGTTGGAGGTCAGCAGGTTCACTCCTGACTGTGGAATAAAGGAGGGCTCCCTAACTTAAGCATCCTTATGAACTACCCAGGGATCTTGTTAAAATGCAGGGTTTAATGCAGTAGGGTTTTGGAACAGGGTCTGAGACTCCTCACTTCTAACGAGCCCTCAGTGGGCACAGGGCTGCAGGTCCATGGTACAGAATGGCCTTCCCAGCCTTCTTCCTCTTCATCGTCATAGATTTTTAGAGCTAGAAGGGATTTTGAAGATGTTTAGTTGCTCCAAAAATACTGCTCTACAAAGTTACTTTTTTCAAATCACTAGGGGAAATCTTTGAAATTCCAAATTTTTAGAGATTCTGGAGCAGTCCATCTGTAGGTGATCCAAGGCATCTGTACCTTCCAAGGCCCCTAGGTCAGTTGGAGGAATCACTAATAGACTTTTCATTTGACAAATGAGAAAACAGAGTTCATAGCTGGTTATGTAACCTACTCCACAAGATCTGCTTAGAACTGTCCTCAGAACTAGAATTTCTAGACAATTTTTCAGCCCACTACCCTGCTATCCTTTAGGCTGCTGGTTCTCCTAAGAGAGGAGATCAATTTCCTACCCCTGAACAAAAGATTCTTAAGTATAAAGTAAAAATCAGGTCCAGTACTGCTTAATGAGGTGACATTCTACGCACGCATTTTCCTCTTGCTGAAGCCCCGGGAGGCTTGATGTGTGTTTGTTTCTACATCCTGGAAAGAAGTTGGACAGAGATGAGCTCTAGGAAATGGAAAAGTTTTACACATTTTATTCCCTTGGAAGATAATTTCTTCACTTCAAAGGTGTTTGTTCTTTGGTGTTTTTATCCTGATAACTGATGAAAATATTAATGTTTTCAAATGGCTTCTATTATGGTCTGGATATGAAATGTCTTCCAAAGGCTCGGCTTGTTTCCCAGTAAAGCACTGTTGTCAGGCAGGGCTTTTGAGAAGTGATTGGATCATGACTTCATCCACCGATGAATTCATAATTGATGGCATTATTGGGTGGAAACAGAAGATGGGGCCTATTTGAAGGGAGTGAGTCATGGGGGATGTGACCTCGGGGACTGTATTTTCTCTCTCCTGCCCTGCTTGTCTGAGTTCCTCGAGCTGAGCAGCTCTTCAACAGTTCTTTCACCACACCCTCCCACCGTGGTGTTTCTGCTTCACTACAACAAAGTCAGCTGACCGTGAGCTGAAACATCTGAAACTCTGAGCCAAAATCACACCTTCTTTTCATCACAGTGACAGAAAGCTGACTAATACAGTTCCTATATAATCAGCACACTAAAATGAATGTGCTATAGACCCTTGCAACATAATGGTTTTTGTGTTTATTTTCATCTCACTTGCCGTAGGTTTTGTTTTTGTTTATTTGTTTGTTTGTTTACTGGATTACCTTAGCCTGATCTCTCTGACTTTAGCATAGACACTGAAACTTCACACAGTCTACACTACCATCCCCTTCCTGACCTGCCACAATTCATGGAAAGGAGTTGTGGTTTAGATTTTCCTTGCAGTGGGAAACTCCTGTTTCACCTCTCTCCCTCTCCCTCTACCCTCCCTCTCCCTCTCCTCAGTGGAAAGAACAACATTTCCCTTAATGGTAAACAAAACCATGTGCTGGTCTGGTCCTGCATAAATTAACCACACATTTTCCCCACTTCCATGGAACACAAATGCTCCTCTCACCCACCCTGAAGTCTTCCAGGGCTGATCTGTCAATGAGCGATTCCCCTTGTAAAAGGAGTTTCCTGGGAGATGGGAAATCTTGCAGTCTCTGTGGGCTTCTCTGCCGGAGTTGGAGTTGAAGCCTCCTTGTCCTATAAATGCTATGTATAGTAACAGGACACACAGGGAGAGCCTTCTTTGGAGTGTATTTTGTTTCTGGAGCAACCTGTTGAAAAAACAGCCTAATTCTCATTAAGTAGCCCTGGGTCTCAGCAGAGTTTCACTATTGAGTGGACTGAACTCTTGACTAAGAAGGAGATGGGTGAGTGCTGGGCTCTCCTTTCTATATGTGCAGGTGTCCTGGGCAGCATCAGGATTTCTTTCCTGATCTTGGCCATGTGGTCACTCTGTGTGAACACACTTGGCAAACTGAACTGGAAACAAATAGAGGGTAGTACTTGTAGAAGCAGGAAATAAGGTTTTACATGTCATCAGAAAGCACTGTTACCTGCCCTATTAGACTTTTATAAGGTGGTTGGTAGAGGATGGCATGGTAGCTGTGCGGTGCCTTTGCAGAGGCCTCCTTTCTGCTCACCCATTGTAGTGTTGTTAACAGGGTCTGGCTGCCACAGGTTGAAATCTATCATAGTGCCAACAGCAGGCCATACTTTTAAGGGGCTGCCTCCGGCCAATGGTAAGGGGGGCAGGACGTGAGGAATGCAGAATTCCTAATTCTGGCCTAGCCTCTTCAGCAGCCTTGCTGAAACTGCCCTAGAGCTGCAAGCAGGCTAAGACTTTCCTTTTTCCCCTTTTTCTGTCTCTTTCAGCAGAGTCTGAACTCTCTAATTGTTCTGCCTATATCCCCGGGTTCCATCCACACTTCTCTCCAGTGACAAGTTGTGCTAACAAAGCTCTTGTCTGCCTTAATCTCCTTAGAACAACTGCTTCTTAGGGACCTGGACAGTCTAGACCGTAAAGTCAGCTTCCTATGAACAAACCAGCACCTACAATGATTAGTGATATGTTTCCCTGAACTTTGGAAGCTTTTTGGCAGGTGGTCTGGACTGGGCTCAGTTTTAGGGTCCCAGGATAATTCCCTTGCAATGGTATGGCAAATAGAAACACTGAAATGATACCCAGGATTTGAGGCAGATTTATGTATGTCAACAGATAATGACTGAGATCGTTCCCAAAAGAGAAGGCCTGATCTTTAGTGGTCTAGGGCTTATAAGGGATAAGCAAGCAGGAAGTACGGCAGAATGGCTTGTCAGCTGGGGACTGGTTTATACAATGTGCATCATAGTGACCAGCTATGCATCACAGTGACCAGCCATCTCTAAGAGATCAGAAGCAACTGGAAATGGAACAGTAGCTTTAACTTTTTAAACTAAGAAACTGAAGCACACTGGCTGGTGGGGGCCACTGACTGTCTTTGGGGTCACTGACAGGGGAATGACTCAAATGCCCATTTCAGGATAGACCGCCGGTCCACCCTTATCCTGCACCCTGGCCTCTTCTCCAGGCCCACTATCCCTTTCCTTCCCCCCTCATCCATGAAAGCCCCCATCCTACTCTTCCTCACACACAGCAGCCCTTCACGTCCTTCATTAGAATGAAGTAGAGTATTATGAAATTTTAAAAGACATCAGGAACAAAGTGATAAAACCAACCAAGGTTTGTTTCCCACTCATGCTTCCATGTGCAGTGTGGGTCAGTAAGCAGATTTCCATCACAACTATGTAGCTTCTCTCACCTAAGGAGCTGTGGTAACTGCAATTAAAGGTTTCTTCCCAAAAATGATAACTTCCCTTGGCCAAAGCCAATTGCTCGTCCATGAAGAGCCAAGGAAGTAAACAGAATAACAATTCTGCACTCTCCTCAGCTAACTGACCCGAAAAACACCGATCTCTAGGGAGCCTAAGAGAGTTAAGTTTCCTGAAAGAGTGAGAAAAATAATGTAAATCCTCCTAAGGTTTAGTCAAAAGATTTCTAACACAGAAAAGGAGGAAGGTTGAGTATTTCAAATATTGTTTCAGTTTTACCTCTACAGATGCCAGTGATGGTTATAAGGATGCTACCAGCAAGGGCATGGATTTTTAAAAGGGTTGCTGATGTGACCAAAATATGCACCAGGGAGTATTTCAGCTCATGGTTTCTTGCCTAGATGATGACTCTATACTGATCCACAGGAATCCTGGAAGGAATGGGAATTCAGGAAAGCACAGTGGGACGTCTGCAATGGTAGAAAGATATTTTTCTTGTAAAAATGAGTGCTGACTAGGCAGGTGCTAGGTACCCGCCATGTTGGAATGGTCAGTGCTAGAAATGGAACAAAGTAGGTACCACGAGCAAGTGGCCTTAGAACTGAAACACCATTCTGTCCGATGCCTTTGTGAGCTACTTTTCTCAGAGATGGATGGGCGATGGTTTTCCTCTCTAGCTAAATGGCTCTGGGTCTAGAGCTTTGCCTAGCTTGTGGAGAGTCTTTTAAATGCTTTGGATATGAAATGCTGAATGTAGTGTGGTTTGGATTTCACTTCCATTAGGTGAATGAGTAGAAGATTTCACTCTACTATGGCACCTCAAGCAGGCCAATTCAATGGAAAAAAAATTAAGAAAAATTAAGTCAGAAAAAATTTTTTTCATGTTGTATGAAACAAATGAACCACTCTGTGCATTTTCTCAGTGCCTATACAAAGTCAACTTGCAGAAAACAAAAATACATCAAATATATGAATTAAGTAAAATGAATATCTTTTCCTTTAGGATATAATTCAGTGTCATGCAAACTAAAAATTGAGAATACTTTCTCAAGGGAGTCACGCATTAGTGAGACAACTTTTTAAAAAAATGAATTTGAAACAGTATAGTCTAAGTAAAATTCTACTTACCTTCAAATAAGACTTTAGGTCTCAGAGTTTAGCTTCTTTAGGCTAGTGCAGCACTGTACTACTTCAGTTACTTTGCTGTAAAAATTCATTTTAAAAAATTCATTAGCTGGACACCATTGTAGGCTCTGGGAGTACAGCATTGAGCTACTTCATGATTGTACGTGACCGATGGGACATAATCTCTACTATGCGCTCATGGGGCTTTGCTTGGTCATTACTTATAACACCGTGGCTAAGTGTTCTATGTTGCTCTGTAAAACCAGATCCCAGTTAGATTTCTGTGCACGGCAAGGTAGCTGTCTGGGAGCTGTGTGTAGGTATCCTTGATAAGTTTTATGATGGAATGGTGGTTTCTTCTTAACAGTTCTTATTTACTTTGGAATACAAGAAAAGACCATGTTTGCCTAAGGTGAGACAGACAGGATCCACTTCAGTCTCTCAATGGTCCATTAGTATGAAATTTTTTCTGAAGAAATCTTTTAAAAGAGTGTTTTTTTGTTTTGTTTTGTTTTGTTAGATGGAGTTAAAAACCTCTTTCTTGTACCTTACTTTAGGGACATTTTGATTAGGGTGTGACTCAGATTTGTTCGAAGGTAAGAAATAGAGAGAGATGCCTGGTTTCAACATTATGAAAAATGTTCTTTAAATTACGATAAAAAAGAAGATATATTATTAACTTATAAAACAGCCCCTAATTAGAATATAATAAAGTTTCCTCCAGACTTTTCTCGGAGATTAGTTTTTCCCATAGTGGATAAAATTGTAAGTCCTCTAAGAGAAGCTCAGGATTTGTAGAATGCATCTTCTCAATCCAGTTTGTTTCCAGGTAGGCCTTTGCTGGCACTGTTAATGACTGAATTTAATCTGCCAAAAATAAGATGCTAGCAACCAAGTATAAAAAATACAGAATGCTCTCTGCAATTTATCTGAACATTTATATATAGCTCTGTTCTGGGTACTTTACAGGCCTTATCTTATTTAATTAGCCAATAAATACATTCTGTACTTGAGCCCAGGCACATAAACCATCTGGGTTCACTTTTGTGAGAACAATATGAATCAAGATAAAAAGAAGGTAAGTTTTTATGATATGAGCCTGGAAGTCAAATATGACATTTCTAAGGTTAAAATCACCAACACTGAAGTGGTGGCAGTGTGGCAGACTGGGGCCCTTCCAGGGGGAGAACCAGCAGCAGCTCCTGAGATCTGCGGCATGTTGGAACTTAGGCCACTGGGAAACCAAGCAACCAGCCTGCCTCCCTGCTAAGCAATAGTGAACCTACTGATGCACGGCCTAGAGTCAAATATCCCAATTCCCCTCCCCCTTTTTCTGTCCCCCCCTTAGCAAATGGGAACCAGAAATCTGAGTGTCTCCTGGGAGGCTGATCATAGCAAATAAGGGGATTTCCTTCTACTATCTCTTTGAAGGCAAATATTTTTATTACTGTTTTGCTCTATTCTGATTAATGATACTGCTCTATTCAATATTCTGTTTTGATAAGTTCTATAATCTGTATTTCATCTCATTTTGATATACGTGATTGAAACAACTATTATAAAGATAACAAAATATACTGTGATACCTATTACTCTTATCCTGGTAACCTGCTGTGAAGTTCTGTACCAATTTCACTGTATGATCTTAGTTGGCTTTATTCTGTCTTTTTCTGTTGTATTTTACCACTTTCAAAATAAAACTTAAAAAAAAATCACCAACACACCCATGTTTGTTGGTATAATGTTTTTCTTTGTAGTTGGACATTAGATTTATTTTCTAAGGCCCAGGATTCTTAGGAGTAAAGTGACACAGTTGAAGCTGTATGTGACAGCTTTCTGTTTAGACCCATGTATTAGCTGAAATACTTTGGAGATCCTAATTGTTGCTTAAATAAGAACATTTAAGCACTTGTTTAATAAGAAATCTAAGGGTAAGTGTTTCTAAATTAAGCAAGTGGTTCCACAATGTCAGGCCATTAAATCAGCATCTCCACCATTGCCTTGACCTGGTCTTCAGGCTCACAAGATAGTTGAAATAATTTTACATACTATGTCTTCGCAAACAACATTTGAAAGTTGAGGAAAGAGGAGGCCAAAAAAATCAAGGTTTTTCCGTTTTGCACCTCTCCAACCGAAAAGAAAATCCTGCCCGGAAACCTTAGGTTTCCTCATCCACCTCGCTGAACCAATGGGGGTCAATGGTTCCTCACAGACCATCAAAGGGGGTGCATTGGGATTACCATAATAGTGATTGCTGCAGACCAATCACTATTTCTTCTCTGGGACTGAGTTCATTGTCTCACACTAAGAAGACTACTGAACCATAATGAGGTCCATGTCCTAGCTCCTGTGATTTTATTAGCTTACATGATTAAGATATTGGGCTGAGAAAGTATTCTAGATAATCTAGATGCAATAAATAAAGTCATGAGGCCCCTTATGAGGAGACAGAAGAGCTGAAGTGAGAAAAGAAGATGCTCTGATGGAAGAAGAGTTTGGAATGATGTGAGATTGCAAACCAGGGAATCAGCAATGTCTAGAAGCTGGAAAGGCAAACAAATGAGTTATTTCATAAGGCATTGGAAGGAATGAAGGCCTATTGATTTATTTTCAGTTCTGACCTTCACAATATTATAATAACAAATTCACGTTGCTTTAAACCCCTGAGGTGGTGATAATTTGTTAAAGCCACTATAGGAAATTAACACACCTCCCAAAGTGGGGATTCTGTTTTCAAAAATGGAGGGCTGAGGGCGTAGTTCAGTGCAGAGCAGTTGCCTAGCCCATGCGAGACCCTTGGGTTTTTCTCCAGCACTGAAAAAGAAAGAAGAAGAAGGAGGAGAAGGAGGAGAAGAAGGAGAAGAAGGAGAAGAAGAAGGAGGAGGAGGAGAAGGAGGAGAAGAAGGAGAAGAAGAAGGAGGAGGAGGAAGAGAAGAAGGAGGAGGAGAAGGAGGAGGAGGAAGAGAAGGAGAAGAAAGAGGAGGAGGAAGAGGAGGAAGAGGAGGAAGAGGAGGAGGAGGAGGAGGAGGAGGAGGAGGAGAAGAAGAAGAAGAAGAAGAAGAAGAAGAAGAAGAAGAAGAAAACTGTGATTAAAAACTATGAGTGAGTAACTAAGAATATCTTTGCCTTGTCAAAAGAATTTAAATCACTTACAAGTACTATGTAGTAAGCAATAGGTTAAAAAATGCAGGAGGTACAGCTTAGGGATTGAGGGGTGTAGAGTTGAGATTTGAATTTGAAGGGTGTGGAGTTGAAGTTTGAATGGCAGTATTGGTGGGATGAATTCATTTGATCTAAACACAATGCACTTGAGTTGGATTTGGGATCTAAGGTTGTCCAATCAAATTGCTTGCACAGAGGCAGTGACTGCTACACAATCATTTCATACTGAAGAACTACTACGTGTTAAGATTGTGGAGGAGAATTAAATCCCTGTCAGAGGCAGCCTAGAGAACTGGACCTCAAGAACTTGGAAGTTTGGGACACACAAAGCAAAAATTTTGGAAATTAATGAGGACTTTATTTAACTAGGCCCCCAAGTAGGTTAGGAAACTCCCTTAATGATGTACACCCTTAAACTAAGACAATGCCATGGACATGGCCTTCTGTAGGAGATATGGTCCACTGATCCTAGCATGTGGCTCCTTCTGTCTTCAAAATTCAAGATGGCTGCTTACAGGTCCAGCATCCCATTTGATTATGGGAAAGCAGGATGAGAGGAGATCAATAGAAAGATAAGCCTTTTCATTTTAAGGAGACATCCTAGAGCTTCCAAGTCATTTCTGTTTACTTTTCTAGGACACATACTTATGGCTAAATCTAGCTGCAGGGGAGGTTGGAACCACCACCTATTGGCTGGATGTCAAGACATCTAATAAAATATAGAGTTCATAAAGACAAAGGGGAACATAAATATGAGGCACAATTCCGAGCCTCTGCAGGGACTGTTACAGGGAGGAAGTGGAACATCCTATAACAGTGGGGCTTGAATTCTATTGACAGCATGAGCAGTTAAGGAAGGAAGCATTTTTTGTTTCCATGGATAATCATATAAAGATACTTCCTATTTTCCTATCAAGACTTCAAATTAAATGTGCTATATGGAACACAGCTTTATTCCCGCTACTCCCCAAACTCGATTAATACGCTACTAAATACACTTTAAAAGCAAATGACAGGGAAATTAAGGGGGATTAAGACTTTCTCTAAACATTGGTGGTTGGATTTACCTATTTGTAGATCATTCTTCCCTTTATCTCTATACCCACCAAGGAAGAGGTTGAGCATCCTTGTGGAGAAAATAACTAGCATGGGAAAACACATTTAATTTGACTCTTGTTAAGGTAAAAAAAAAAAAGTAGATTACAAGACATAAACATGTGTAATAAGAAATGGAAATAAGAGGTTGGTCAAAACAAGTTTCCAGATTAACGATAGAGTTATTTTTCTCATGTTAATGAGAGGTAGATAACTAAGGGGCACTTGTATTTTATATATCAAGAACACCATAGGTAAAAATTCTGAACCCCCTAAGGGCAAAGTTCGCTTTAATAAAGGTTATTGTTTACTTACAATGACCTGACTGTTGAAAATATTAGACTTCCTCTTAAATATTTGCTTACTGGAGGTAGAGAGTCTCCATGGTATGTAGCATCTCCAATATAACGGCTGTTGTAATTTGTCCTATCAAGAGTCTACACAATAGGAAATTCTGTTTGCTAGAGAGGATTGTATGTTTGCTTAAGTTATAAACTTTATTCCTCATGGGAAATTGAATTTTCTGTGCCTTATTGTTATAATTAAACCACTGATTGTCACCATACTTGTTATAGTTAATGTTTTCAGTGTTTACCATGCAAACCACCTACATATTTCTTCCTTATAGCTATGTGAGTGAAAATTTAGGATAGAATTAGTAGAATATTCAACTAAAAAATCCCAGTGTTGTACAGGCTAGAGAGAAAAGAGTTAGAAACCTGATGTACGATGATCCTTTGAAATACAATTAGCTTCTCCTGGAGTCATTCTTCACGGAAGCAGCCCTTGCTCATTACACAACCCCTGCCCATGCACACAGA